CCCTTCACCCACTTTTCTGTTGTCCATCCCCCAGGGAGGAGGTTATATGTAGATCCTTGTAATTGGTTCCCCCTTTCTACCCTCTTTTTCCTCCCCCTTCTCCCTCCTGGTATCACCACTCTCACCACTGGTCCTCAGGGGCTCATCTGTCCTGGATTCTGTGTTTCCAGTTCCTATCTGCACCACTGTGCATCCTCTGGTCTAACCAGGTGTGTAAGGTAGAATTGGGATCATGATAGTGGAGGGGAAGAAGCGTTTAAGAACTAAGAGGAAAGTTGCATGTTTCATCAATGCTACCCTGCACCCTGAGTGACTCATCTCCTCCCCACTACCCATCTGCAAGGAATGTCCAGTTGACTGGACAAATGATGGATAAATATTATTTTAATAAACTTTTATTTCAGTTGTTTTTATACATACATGATATGTACTTTTTTTTTTTTTTACCATGGGTCAAAGTAATTGAAAATGACTACAGGTCTAATAAGGGGAGGAAGTGGTGGTCATGAGCTACCCTGGGCGGTAGCATTTATAAGACCGAGCAAGTGACTGTACTTGGGAGAGTGATGGAAGAGCGAAACGCCTGGAGGGAGCCTGGTTCAGGCACCTGCCACACTTCACTAAGTTAGTGCCTATCGAAGACATGAATGAGGGTAAAGCCCAAACCTGCTGTCATCGCGTCCACTCTGAGTCATAGCAGCCCTATCTATGGTTTCAGAAGCTGTAAATTTTTATGGGAGCAGATGCGTGTGAAGCACTAACCTTGAGTAAAGGCCAGTAATACAATTGTTTCAGGACTATCCGGATGAAAATGCAGATGGAAATTTCTTATGAAGTTGAGCATTTTCTTACCTAATCCAGAAATTCCATTCCTCAGTATTTACATAGGTAAAATAACATACACATATATGTTTTTTAAAAACTTAATTTATACAAGCTTCATTCATGTTATACAAAACAGGAAATAATGACTATCCAATTTCACGAGAATGAAGCTTTAAATGAATACCTTAAAACCTAGAAAGCTGGATCCTGTGTAAGGCAGAAACCTGTCAGAGATGGAAAATGCAAATGTTTTCTACTAATACAAAGTGATAGAGAAATGGTAAGACTATCTCACTAAAGACAGAAAACTTTCAAGACCCAGAAAACCAAGGCTCTCACAGGTTCCTCTTCATTCTATGCTTACAATGTATTGCTAGTTATCAGCAGAGGGAATTACTGATACATTGATGAACATGGATAGTTTTCAAAGATAGGATAAAAGCAGTCAAACACAAAAGAACATATTCTTTATATTTCCATGAATTAAAACAGACAAAACTAATCTATGATGGTAAAAGTTCGAGCCGTTATTGATTATGGCTTGGTTTTTATCTCAAGAGAAAACACCACATGTAATTCTAAGCTTTCCAATTTTTTTTGTTATATAAGTTAAGATAGGAACAGCCAAATTTTATTTTCTTTGGTAATGCTTCGAACCCCATACACTTAACCCCTTCAAGAACCTCTGGGACATCTCAGAGAAGGCCTCATACTCACAAGATTGTCTAGTTTCACTGGTAGACCCTAGAAAGGACTGCGGGTGGCTATCTGATTGAGTACTCTCACTTATGCCAGTGTCATAGTTGAGTGGATATTGTCTAGCCTGTCCTCCTACCTGTATTCTCTTCTGGGAGGCTGGAGCAACATTTCTCGGACTCCCTTGCTAGTTGGCTCGTTGTTAGGTTATGCCAAAAAGAAACAAGGGGGGAAAGTCTGTACTATGAGAGCTGGGAAAAATGGATTTTCTTCTTAATGTAGGTATTCCTATCAGTTATGCCAGCAGCAGTTACATCAGCTCTCGCCTAACACATCTTTGCTGCTCCCAGGGCTAGATTCCAATAATTTGCCCTTAGGGAGTCTACCTACCAATCTTATTTAGCCCCGTCTCTAAGTTCCTAAACTCTGGTGATTCCACTTTGTTCTTTCAGTCATTTGGCAGTTGCTGCTTTCTGCAGTTACAAATACCTGAGTTATTCCAGTTTCTTTTTTGCCCTGTTAGCCTCTTTGCACTGTATATTAATCCCTTCTATAAAAGACCCTCCGTGTGCTTTTTATTTCCCTACCAGGATCTTGACTAACTAGTTGTATAGAGCCTAGTTTGGGAGGTACAGGTGGAGGTGGAATACACTCTGGTAATGTGTCCCAGCGAAATGTAACGTATGCCCAGACACTTTATATAATTTAGTGAACCAGAGGTATTATTTCTCATGTCTTGTGGGAGAAATAAGTAGCCTGATGGTGCGATGGTTAAACACTCATTGCTAGCCATCAGGGCAGAGTTTTCGCTTACCCAGTAGTGGCTCGCGGGCAGAAGACCAGGTGACATCTTTCTGTAAATTAGGTCGCAGCCTAGAAAGCCTTATGAGGAGTCCACTCTGTTGGATTTGAGTAGCAGTCAAAATAGCTCTGGTTGGCTCCTTTCCTCTTAGAAAAGTTCGTTCCCAGGAGCATCCTTCAGTCTGTGGTTTAAGTTCAGCTCCTCACAGCTTGTAAGATCTACATCTAGTGTGGAGATGGCCCAGTGTCCAGACGAAGGTGTTGGGTTCAAAATACACAGGTAAACAAGAAGATTAATGCATCTATGATGACAAGTGGTTACATGGTGGACTGTGATCCACAAGGTCAGCGGTTCAAAAACACCAGCCACTCTTCAGAATAAAGAGGGGTTTCTACTCCCATAAAGTGTTAGTCTTGGAAACTCACTAGTCTGTCCTGTTCTACAGGGTCACTGTAAATTGGCCTCAACTCTATGGCAGTGAGCCTGGTTTTTTGGTAGTTTTATGTTTGTGGGCTGCACTATTTATTCCTGCATGTGTGTGCATGTGCGTGCACAGACACACACACACAGTTTACAAACAACCCAAGGCAAATCCATTGCCATCAAGTCGATTCTAACTCATAGTGACTTTATAAAACAGAGTAGGACCACGAATTTCAGACCCTTTACAAAATGTTACTACTTCCAAGTCGGCAACTGAAACAGTTGGTGACCAAACAGGCATCAGAAGAGTTTGAGATAGGATCTCATATTTCTGTAGAGTTTCACTTTAACAAAACTCACATACTTATCAGGCCCCAGAAATAGGAAGGGTAGATATAAACTGACCCTAAGGATAGATCAGAGGTGTCCAATAGAAACATAATTTCTATCATATTTACTATAAAATTTTTTCATGTTGTTTCTAAGTGCCATCAAGTCGGTTCTGACCCGTAGTGACTGTGGGCACAACAGAATGAAACACTGCCCAGTCCTGCGCCCTCCTCACAATTGTTCCTGTGCTTGGGCCCATTGCTGCAGCCACTGCGTCCATCCATCTCATGGGGGCCTCCTCCTTTTTTGCGGCGTCTCTGCTTTACCAAACACGGTGTCCTTCTCCAGGGACGAGTCTCTTGACAATATGTCCAAAATATGTCAAACGAAGTCTTGCTATCTTTGCCCCTCAGGAGCACTCTGGTCTTACTTCTTCCAGTACAGACCGGTTTGACCTTTAGTATTCCAATTCAAATGCATCAATACTTCTTCAGTCTTCCTTATTTAAATTCCAACTTTCCCACCCACATGAGGCCATGGAGAACCCCAGGGCTTGGCTCAGGCACACCTTACTCCTCAAAGAAACATCCTTGCTCTTCAATTCTCTAAAGAGGTCTTGTGCAACAGATTTACCTAATGCGATAGGTCTTTTGATTTCTTGACTGCTGCTTCCATGAATATTGATCGTGGATCCAAGTGAGACAACGTTGTTGAGAACTTCAACCTTTCCTCCATTTATCACGATGTTACCTTTGGTCCAGTTGTGAGGATTTTGTTCATCTTTACATTGAGTTGTAATTCATACCGGAGGCTGCAATCATTGCTCTTCATCAGCAAGTGCTTCAAGTCCTCCTCCCTTTCAGCAAGTAAGGTTGTGTCCGTATTTCTCATGACCTTAATAAGCCACATTCTTCTTCATATAATCCAGCTTCTCTGATGACTTGCTAAGCATACAGATTGAATAAGTATGGTGGGAGATTCAACCCTGACACACACCTTTCTTGATTTTAAACCATACAGTATGCCCTTGTTCTGTTCCCAGAACTACCTCTTGACCCATAAACATTTATTATTAATTGGGAGTTAATACATTTATCACATCATTCCATGGTTCAATCATGTCAAGCAGAATTGTACAATTGCTACCACAACCAGTTTCCAAACATTCTTTTTCTTTTTGGACTCCTCGACATTGTCTCCCTTTTACCCCACCCCCCCCACCATCACTGTACACAGCTCTTATCCCATACCCCACCCCACCACCGAAACCCTTATTCTGCTTGCTGTCCCTATAGGTTCATCAATCCTGGGTTTCATGTACCAAAACATAGAAAAACATATAACACAACTTCAGGTGATCAAAGACATCAATCTGACTCGAGCAGTTAAAACCTTGTCAGTTGATCCCCCTCTGATGCATGCTGGACCTGATTTGTTTTTCAACATTTTCTGTATTTTTGGGTTTTGTTTGTTCATATTAGCGTGTATCTCAGAGGTGTTATGTCATCAGAGGTGACCCTCTTTAAGTTTTGCTATCAATGCATCTTGATGCATGTTTGAGCAAGTTCAGACTAAAGTCATTGGTAGAAGTCTTCAAGTTCTTCATCACCAGCTTTTGGGGTTGTTGCATTCATTTGAATAGTAGTTGTGTTGATTGGATATCCTTGAAAGTGAATAGATATAATCCGATCACAGACAGCATTGTACTTCATGATCGGTTTAGCAAGATCCTTTCTGACAATGAATTGCCACACCATTCCTCTTGATTGAGTTTCTCCCAAGCATAGTAAATCAGCTGATTTTCTGATTCAAAATGGCTAATACCAGTCTATCGCAGCTCACTAATACCTGGTATATTGATGTTTATGTGTTCCATTTCATTTTTGATGATTTCCAATTTTCCTACATTTACACTCAGACATTCCTAGTTTCGTTCACTAGCAGATGTTTGCAGCTGTTTCTCCTTGCCTGGAGTCATGCCCTGCCAGCAAATGAAGGTCCCCAAGGCTCTACTCCCGCAGACTTTACCTGATTCTCGTCACCATGGCGGACTCGACGCCAAGGTATCAGCTCCTTTTCGTTGCAATTCCCAGCGCCTTTGGACTTGAGGGGCTCCTCCTCTGCACTCTGTCCAATAATGCTCTGCTGCCTTTGTTCTGGCTTTCACTATCTGACAACGCTTCGGAGCTATGCAGAAGGTGTTTAGCGGCTTCTTCCTCCTAAGGAATCCTCTGTGTTCTTGCAGCCTGTTCACTTTGGGTGACCCTGCTGGAAGCTGAAATAAGGGCGACACAGAGTCCAGCAGCACAGGAACGCACAGGCCACCACAGGAGGACAAACGGACAGACAAGTAAGTGGTGGTCACTTTAGTGAGACAAACATTTCTCATAACTACATAAAAATAAGGAAGAAGAAGCAGGTGTGATTAATTCTCACAATACATTTTATGTATCACAGTCTATTCAACTTATCATTTTAGCATCTCGTCACTAGTTTTAAATTATCAATGAGATTTTTCACACCCTTTTTTTCTACTAAGGTTTCAAAACCTACTCCTACAACAAATCTCAATTCAGAGCAGCCCCTTTGAAAGCTCAGTGGCCACAGGAGGTGGTGGCTGGCCATTGGACCGTGCTGGTGAGATGATTTACCCAGAGACACAGAGTAGCAAGTAGTTACTCCAGGCAAACCGGGTCAGAAATCTAGAACCCTAATTCCAGGCCTCTTCTTGGTAGTGGGAGGAGTTATTTTCTTCTTTAGAGTTTGGTTTCAGGATTTGTGCAAAGAAAATCGCATTAAAAGTTTTTTTAATGCATCAGAATTATTTCTTCAAATGAAGAATCAAATAAGACAGGCAGCAGAGGCACTTGTCTCTGGAAGAGGGCATGACTGTGGGGAAGAGGAGAGGACAAGTGGATTACGTCCTGTTTGGCTGCCTACACAAATGCATATACACACACCATGCACTTACGCATGCATGTACTCTGAAGGAGTTGTTATGAACCCTTGCAGTAGTTATTCCTAAGATCCCTTTAATTAAAAAAAGTCTATGGTGTTATGCGTACAATTTAACTTTCAGTCAGTGTCTCTAGTTTAAGATTTCACCAAAAAGTAGGAAAATTACTTTCAGTACAGTATATTGGTGTTTCATTCACATGTTAGTTTCATTCAATTATGAATTTTTATAAGTGAAAGAATACCTTGAAGATGAGTGATTTACATGGTTTCCAATTTCCTCCCCAGTAATAGATCCTTCTCTTTAAGTGGCTCCTTACACAAAAACTTCGATGCTCTAGGATAGTTAAAATCAGCTCTGCAAGGTCAAAGTGGACACAAGGTCCTATAGAACTCTGACAGCTCAGCATCACCCACTTAACCACTTGCGGCAATTGGCCCTCAAGTCTCATGTCTTAATTGTGACGGTTTTAGCAACCAAAGACTAAGTCCAGTGTGTACCCCTTTAGATGCAGAAACTGCAGCTCTGTGCGACGCTCAAAGTCCCACCCAGCACTGATGTCAGGACTGGGGTCGGACCTGTCAGTGATGTACTGGTGGAACCCACTCATGCAGGCTTGTAAGAGTTACGTTTCCAGAGTGCTGCGATCTGGTTGACATCACACTGGTAGCACAAAATCGGCCAAGGTGGGATTATATACACCATGAAAATCAGTAAACGTTACAAATCTAGGCTTTTCCCAGAGAGCTGGTTATGAATGTCCATCAGTACCCCCTGCCTGGTGTTCCTGAATCCAGGTCTTTATGTACTGATAACAGCAGCCTGATGGTAAAGGTCATGACTTTTGATAGGAAATACCATTTTAAAGACAAATTAAAAATAAGCCTGAGTAGAAATCGTATGGGAACATAAATAACCATTTAATTCCCCAGCTATCAGTTTCCTGGAAATCCATCCTTTGCCCAGGCGATACTGGTCCTTTAAGATCCTTTCAAGTGGTTATTGGAGTCTTCAACAAAAGTGAGGATGGGCTCATTTTTAGTATTAGGTGAACCAGGCAAGTCAAATTTTTAAAACGTTATTTAAAATTCAACCCTGAGCATAAAATAAGAAGTTAAAAGAAGCTGCTGACACTGCCCTTTGAACATTGGATAATCTGATATACCTTCTCTCACAGTCTCCCTCTGAGTTCTATTTCTGGATAAGAAGGTATTAAAAGGTCTCTAAACAATGACTGGAGTCTTCGAGCGTCTCAGTGGGCCTCCTAGCTCTTCCTATTGTACCCTCCCCCACGGAATTTGGGACTCGTCCTCCTGAGGATGCTTGTCCCCTCTGCTGCTTTTCTCTTTTGTCCTTTGTGGGGCTGCACGCTCTCCCTGGCGCCTGTTTGGGCATGCTTGGTAATGTCAGCTGCCTGCACTTCAGCTGTCCTTTTGTATCCATGGTGATGGATGAAAAATAAGCTGCTTTGCAGCGATTTGAACTTTAATCCATTCAAACGATACACGCTTTATCGCTCAGGTGATTTCCCCCAATACTTTCAGATCACTAAATCTTGAATGATTAAGGAGGAATTAACATCCTACTTTTTTTTCTTCTTCTTTTCTTTTCAACCTCATGGCTTGATGAGGTGCTCTGGGAATACAGTGGTTCAAGCACACAGCTGCTATCTGGAAGGTCGGCTGTTCAAACCCCCAGCTGTTCTGCAGGAGAGAGGCATGCCAGGCTGCTTCCATAACGAGTACTGCCTTGGGAAGCCTCCCGGGGAGGTCTGCTCTGTTCCATAGGGTAGCTCCATCAGCCCGACAATAATGGACATGCACTTTTGGTTTTCTGTCTCGATAAATTCATTTAATCAGCACTTTAAATTTGTTCCCGGTAATGAAGTCAGCAGGAAAGTAATGTCCGAGATATGATTCCACAGGGAGAGCAATGGTAAAGATATTCTTTCTTTAATGTTTCTTCTCATCATCCATGCCTAAGTGTTGTGTCCCTGGCCAAGTAACATGGAGGAGCTACAGAAGGAAAAACGTGATGGAAAACCAAACACTTAAAAGTAATAGTGCCCAAAATGTGTCACCACTGGCGGCATTTGACATTATTTCAGTGGCTTCTAAGTATGATCTTAAAAATAGCATTGGCTTTTAATCTTTCCAAATTCAACCAGGAAAGAATATCAGCCTGGTGGTAATCTTTAGCCCCTTACTAGCACTTGTTCATAAGTTAAATTACAAAAGCCAAAAAGTGTAGGCATAAATAACTATTAGTGTCTCCTACAAACCTGTTTTATGGTTCACTTCAATATCGTAACCAGGTATCTGTCTCTGACCCTTTCTTGTCTGCCAATGTTCTGTAAGACATGTTCTTTAATGCAAAATCTTGCGGAAATTTCTTGAAAAGTCATTGTGGAGGGAGACAGTATAAGTTGAACATCAAAAAGCCAGAATGCCAGCCTACCACAAGGAAAGATTCACCATTTTAAGGCACCTAGATAAAGGTCAATTGAGAATTTGTGATTCTTGAGAATGATTCTGTTAGGTAGCTAGAGGCAGAACCCAGGGGTTGTCCCTCTACACACCAACACCTCCCCCGCCCCTTCACCCCGCCTCACAGCAAGTTGGAAGCTGATAAAGGTTGGAGGGCAAGCACAAATGTAGGCCCCTGAGCCAGGAAGCCAGTACACCTGGGTGAGACCCAATCTAGGCCAGGTGGGCTTAATTCAGCCAATGGGCTCAACCAGTAGTGTTGACCACATCTTCCAGCAGAAGGCCCCCCAGAGCTAGAACTTTGAGACCCTCGGGCTTTTTTCCAGCTTCTTCTTGGTCTCTCTCTCTGCCCACAGCCGCCACCGGTAGGTGCCATGAGAGTGCCTGTGTTCAGTTACTGTGACGCCTGAGACGGCGTCTGTCCTTTATAAAAACCTGCTTGGATCACAAACTAGGCTTCGGCGTGAATTCTTTCTCGTGTGAAGCCAAGGACAGAGGTTTTTCTGATTTGAAGGAAGTTTACTTTTTGAAAGGTTTTTGTTTTGTTAACTAGTTTTGGTAGGATTTTATATTAGTATTCTAGTGATTCATAGGCACCATGATGTTGGATAACCATTGGTTTCAGAGATACCAGCTTGCTTTGGGCAGCTTCTTAGTTGTCAACAAAGAGCTCTATAACACATATATTTTACAACTAACATCTGAGCATTATTAATATTCAAGTTAGATGAGTCATAGTGCAGCTACTCTAAGCACTGGGTACAATGCCTGAGGACTTGGATCAGATGAAATGGTGTTGGGGTCACCTCTGACTGCCTCTGGTTATACAAAGGGGAAGGAGAACCCAACTTCATATCTACCCAAGGAAAGCACCTATGAGGCTGAGCTCAGACATGCCTTCACTTTCCAACCTTTTTTTTCCCTATTCTGACACTAACCATCCTTCCCATGGCATTCTACTTCTCTGCCACGGTCCATAATATGTTGCAATAACTGCACAGAACTAACAGATCTTACTCATGATTATGGAGCCTATTAACAGAGGTAATAGTTTACAAGTCAGTATAAGAGAACGTTAAGGATACAGTTCTTTTGTCCACAGTACTTCTTCTCAGCCACACCATCAGGCACATCTCTCTCTGATCCTTTGCCTCTCATTCACATGGCCTGAATTTGCGCTGCTTGGCCAATGTTACAAAGCTTCTTTAGCACTGATAATAGTCCAATAGGCACTCTGTTCTGCAAGCCAGCCTCTTGCACGAAGGCAGCCTTATTCTTCCTGTGAACTGCGAAGCCCACAGCTTTGTTTAAGGGTCTTGTGCCACTGCCACTTCACACAGGGCAGTTGCCATTTAGGCTTGGATCTTACACAAACTCTATGTATGGCACTTTGTTCTTGGTACTTCTTGGGATTCTCTGTTCCTTATTCTAATGGAGCTCATTTATATTTATTGAAATGGCAAAATTGAGTAATCCCTGAGCTAGACTTCTCAATACCTTATTTGCATGATCCCACTGAGGCATTGGTGGGAATTAGCAAAGACTACGGCGAGACAGGTAGTTTCACGTCACTGCAGGAATCAATGCCGTCATTGCCTTCAGGATTCATAGACCATTTTAACTATGGTTGCGATAGACCAGGCTGGATTACATCTTCCAAAGGGCATTCCATTTTTAGTATGAAAGTTCCTTTGCTGTCATTACCAGGAACTTTCCTGTGATGAGCATTTATATAATTTGTAAGGAATGTGAGGTGAACATCGTTTACTATGCAAATGAAGTTTCTGTGGCCGACCAGGAGGGGATTGGTTGGCCTGTGGCTCTTCTGGAGCTGGAGATCATCCCTTGAACTTGACAAGGAGTTGTATCTGTGCAGCTAGTCCCATAGAGATTTAGCAGACAGAAAAAGACAGGCAGAAAAGCCCCAGACAGAAAGAGAAAGAAGGGAGAAGAAGCAGAGAGAGGGGAGGAGGGAAGGAACCCCCTAACAGGGGTGGAACACAGACCAAGGGCTGTAGCACTGAAGACAGTTACTCTGGGATGGACCCCACAGCAGAGCCAGTGGTGACAGAGAGCAGGGCCCAGATAATCATAGCCTGAGGGGTTAACATGATCCTGTTTTGGGGCCTGACAAGAGGCTTGTCCTGGGGAGGGGGGGCTGAGCGGAGACCTTCATGACTGCAAGGAGCTGAGAAAGCTATCCTGCACTGAGGAAGGGAGGGCTTTGCCTCTGTACTACTGACCCTGATCTTGAGTTATACGAGTAGTTTGCTGATTGTGTTCCCAAGTTGTCGCTTGTTTCTTAGTAAACCACAAAACTCCCAGTGTGGCCTGTGAGCTCTGTGTGGTCGTGGCCAGGGATAATCAAACCCAGAAGAAAAGTAGAGAGGAGGACTGTGTAGCAGGAACAGCTGGTGTAAGAATTGATCACAAGATTAGAGAGTAGAGATACATCTGATTACCTCGTGGGAATCCGCCACGGCTGGTCTTGATTCTCATTATCCTCTGTAATATTAGAATGTTTGGATGCTCCTACCAGTACGACTACTCTCACTGTTAAGGAAGATTGTATTTGTGTATGTTACCGATGGAAATACTTTGAAAATATGGATACCTATATAAGCCCCTGCAAAATCACAGTGAAACCTCAGCTTTAGCCCAGATACACACCGGCCCAACTGAAAGTGTGGAAGGAGCGCGCCATTCCAACGAAAGGGAGCAGCATTTGGGGTCCAAGTGAGGGTACAAAGCTCCGTCTGGCTTGTGTCTTCGGCTCTTTCCACTTGCACACAGATGCAAACATGACACCACAAAACAAGAAGAGTGATTCTTGCCACCGTCATGGACAGAAAACAAAAAGGACACTTACTCTCCTGGGCTTCATCTGATTTATTGTGTGAAGGAACAACTACAGAACTGATCAGGGTTGCCTGGTTTGGGTAATTGTTTGAGCTAATAAAAACAAATCATACGTGGCATATTTTTGATAAGACAGAGCCTTTTTCTTTTTCTTCAATTACGTATCTCACATATGTAGTTTCCTGAGAATATTTGATGGTCTGATTCCATTTTTCAAGGACGCATCTTCCTTCTGAAGAAATGCTACAGTATTATTCATAAGCGCTTATTCGATATGCCATCAATCATAGTTTAATGATTTTTTTTATCACATAGTCAGCTGAGCAGTGTTGTTGAGAAAACCTAGCTCATGAGTATATTTCTCTGTGGCTTTGAAAACTGAAAATAAGCCATCTTTTTTATTTATTTTTGTTATTTGGCTATAATAGGTATACTAGTATATCAGTTTGATATTTGTCTGCTGTATTTTTTAAAATTAAGTATTTCTAGAAACTTCTAGAAATATTTTTTATAAAAGAAATTCTGAGAAAGGGGAAACAATTTTTAATGTATGCTATATGATACAATGTATGCAAAAATATTAATAGAGCCTTCTAATCTTCCTTTGACAAATTCTTCTGGCAGTCATTTGAGATTCTTGTTTCTGGAGTATTCTTTGAAATTCAATAGGGGATTTGTTGGGTAGTGTGCAACAGAGAATAAAGAACACAGTTTGAAATTCAAATGCACATTTCTCTAAATCCTAAAATTCAGTCAATCTGAATATAAATTAAATATACACATCCATTAACTCTAATATTACAGAGTAGCAGGGTTCAGAGCACAGACTTGAAATCAGAGTTCAGAGAGACTTGGCTCTGACACAAGTTGCAAACACTCTAAGCCTCAGAGTTTTGTTTTCTTTAATTTGTAAAATGTAGGTGGAAAAAAGTCCAGGCCCTCAGGCTGTTTTGAAGATTAAATTGAAGAATTACTTAGTAAATCTGAAGTCAATTAATGTAACGATTATTATTACATGCCTAGTAATATCTAGAACGATAGTGTAAAAGATATCATTATTATAAAGATAAATATTATTACCGAGGATGTTATGATTATATATCCATCAACATCGGATAATGTAAAAAATAAGATATTTCATACATGACAATCTTGTCTACATATGATGGTGGCCTACATGAAGAAAAAAGAAAAGTATGCCATGTTGTTGGCAAGGAAACCTGAATAATTTGAAAATGTCGGGTCATCCCAGATTTATGATTTAGAGCCAACTGACATTGCAAAAATGGCTCTTTTTTAATTTTTAAAAATTATCTTAAAATATATTTAGAGAATTAAACAGGCGAAATAAGCTTTAAAATAGCATTTATGAAGAGAAATATACGATATACGCGGGCAAGTAAAAAATACTGTTACAAAATCATAGAAACCTTTATTTTTTAAAAAAAGTCAAGTTGCGAAGCTATTGTTTCCTGACATGTGGGTCTGTGCAATTCTGAACGTGGTGTTTTCAGCTCTCGAACCTTTCCCCAGACAGATCTGTACTGGAAGAAGTCAGGCCAAGTAAGGCCGGAGAGGCGCGCAAGCGGGGTAAGACTTTGTCTTACGTACTTGGGACGTGTGCCTGGAGAAGGACATCGTGTGTGGCAAACTGGAAGGGCGGTAAAGAGAAGCCCCTCGGGGATTGACACCGTGACTGCATCAGTGGGCTGAGGAACAAGCACAACTGTGAGGATGGCACAGAACCACGCCGTGTTTGATTTTGTGCGTAGAGCCGCTATGGGTCGGAGCCGACTCAATGGCAGCTAACAACAACAACCTCCTCTCTCTTCAAGCTACATCTGATCAAAACAGTAATTCGGGCATCCTCAAGGGAATCAAATCATGTTACTTTTCAATGTTCTTGACAGGGCAAGATCAGGGCTGGAGGGTAGATGAAACGGTTTCCCAGTGAAAGTCTCCTAGGACAGCCCTTGCTCCCCTCAAAGAATGAACAGGGTGTTGTCATAATGGGGGCTGAAAGGGTGGAAAGAAAGAAAAACTCTCAGTGCAAATTTCCTGGCGTTTTTCTCACTAATGCAGCTTTCAATGTTTACAAAAGTCTTCCTAATTGTTAGTCCATTTGGAATTCGGTCACTTTCTGAGATGACCCCTCTATTGAATGGCCTGGGCAGGTCCTCAAGGAAGTCCCTATTTTCATTGAACTTTCTCTTTCCCTTTTCTCAAAAGACAGCCTAACAAGGTAAGAGAACTTAGCTGCAGCCTTCCACTAATTGCAGAGACATATTTAAGTATGCTTTGTTTGGAATAAACCAGAAACCTAGTTGCAGGACGCTTGGACTTGACGTCATGTCTATTGATACCTACTATATAGAGCGCAAAAGAAAATTCCAAATCAAGGGGGAAAAAGAGAGGATTAGTCATTGAATGATTCTGGAATAAGTCATTGGATCACTCTTTATAATCAGTGCCATTTTGTCAAACACATAAAAGAGGAGCTGGTACCAAGGGCTCAAGCAGAAAGAAATTGGCTTGGAAATGTTGATGGCAACATATGTACAAGTGTGCTTAATACTATTGAATGATGGATTGTTATATGAATTTTAAGAGCCCCCAATAAAAATGATTAATTATTTTAAAATTTCAAAAGCAAGAATAAAACAAAAGTATGTATTTATTAGCTTTCTGCAAGGCTTTCTAAAATTAAAAGTAATGAAAAGTCACAAGAAAATGTTGACAAATTTTATCTAAAAAGTTACAGCTTCTGCCACTCCAAAAATATAAGCAAATTAGAAAAATTAAAATGGTGAAGAACAGAACATTAAATATGACGAAAGGCTTGCATAAAAAATTAATCATTAAAAATACAAAGGACAATTGTCAAGAGAAACTAATGCATGTTCACAAACATGAAAAAGTATGAAGTCATTAGAAACCATTAAAAATTTTAAGGACAATTACTAGGTACAATTAGATTCTGAATATTTAACATTTGGAAAAAGAAAATACTGAAAGTGAGTAAATAGATAATAATAGACACTCATCTTCTCTGGGAGTATAAATTGGTATAAACCTTTTTTTTTGTTATTAATGTAGTAAAAATCCTAAAACTGGTACATCCCTTAGCCCAGTAATTTCTTTTCTTTGAAGAAACTCTTAAGTTCAAATATCATAATGTTGAATAATAATTAAGACACAAATATTCATTAAAAATACTTGAAATATCTCACTTACTGCCCTTGAGGCAATGCTGACTCATAGAAACCCCCTGTGGCTTCCCGACTGTCACTGTTCACAAGAGGAGACAGCCAGATCTTTCTCCCGCGGAGCTGCTGGTGGTGTTGAACTGCTGGTGACCCTGTGGATCGCTGCCCGATGCCTAACCAGTACACCACCAGGGTTCCTCTATAATCTACAAATGGATTACATAATGTGTAATTAAATGTTTCTTTCCCAGTTAATTGCCGTTCAATCAATTTTAATTCATGGTGACCCGAGGTAATATACAGTAGAACTGCCCATAGGATTTCCTAGGCTGTCATCTTCATAGTATTGGATCACCAGGACTTCTCTTCCTCTGCACTGCTGTATGGATGTGAACTAACAACTTTCAGGTTAACAGCCTAGCACAAATCATTTGAGCTTTGATGAAATGGTGTCAAACAAAAAAATTTCTGTAAAGTTTATAAAATGAGGGAACTAAACATACTGTAAAAATTTGAATAGGAACATATATTAAATATGCAAAAGCATTAACTCTATCTTTGAGACCTTTCTTATTGATTTTCTAATGATGCATTTTGATCTGCCTATCATGAACATGCTTAATTTTTGTGATTAGAAAAATTTTAACATTTTTTAATATTCCAAATGTATTAATTTTTATAGCCATTCACATTTTCTGCTTATATGAGAAACATAAATGATAATGCTTTTAAACTTGTATTCCTTGACAACATGCAAACTTAAATTTTTTTAGGTGTTAAATAGAACATCATAAACTTTGATAAAAATGAGTAAATTTAAATATTTTAATCAGAAAATTAACAAGTATCTGTAATCTTTGCCCTTAAAATATTTCAGAGACTTTTTCAAGACTAAGTGATGGGAAACAAGATAATGGAGGAAAGAAGTATAAGTACAGAATTATGACTGCAAGTCACATTTGAATTTTTATTAAAATTAACAGTTTGCACGTTTGTTGCTTGCTTTGCCCTTTTAATTCATGATCATTTCAATGGCTTATGACAAGAAACATTGAAATTTGCAATAGGAGGAATTGGTGAATTTCCCAAATTCTTAAAATATAAGAGATTTAAATTGTTACTGAGCAATAAAAAGTACCCGGCATAGTTTTTCCAAGAACATCTGTAACATGAAGAAAAAATATGAGAAACTTTTAATAGAGAAATGAAAAAAAACCCCACACAACAACAATAATCCACTGGGATTGTTCCCAGATTGTAGCAAGTTTACCATGCAATAGCCTTCCAAGGGTAATTAAGTTTGGAATATTTACATTTGGACTAAATGAGAACTAGAGGAAAGTGCATTGTAATTAGCAGGGGATTAGCTTGCTAGGATATAACCTTGCTTCAGTCAGCAAACATTAGCTTGCTAAAGAATGCCTTTTTTCTAAGTAAATCTTAGTGTTTTATGAGACAATTATTAATTTCTATGTTTCATTTGGCATACAAAATTTTCCCCAGACTGCTTCCAGGAGAAGAGATACCCTGATTGCAGGGCGTTTGGAATCATTCAGGCTGGAGGGGACAGCTATTATGTACATTTTGTTTATTATTTTGAATCTCACTGGTTTAGGTCATATGATTATGCAAATCCACCTGGGCAATTGTTTTCCTTTGAACCATCAAAGAAAAAAAGTGTGCGATGCAAATTAAGATCACAAACAAGAATCTTCTAAGGAAGGAAACAAAATTGAAACGTATCAGCACATTGTTTTGCTATGGGGTTCAAATGAGTTTTGTGAATTTGCGACACACACTAGGAAGGGGACACAGTTGTGGAGAAGTGTATTAGTTTGGGTACTAATTTGAAAAACAAATCCACAGAAACTCATGTGTAAGAGAGAGTTTTATATAAAGGGTAAGTGCACATCAGGAAAACATCCCAACCCAGTGCTGCCCAAACCCACAAGTCCAACATTAGCCCATATGTCTGACACCAATCCACAAAGCCCTCCTCCATCTCACAAAACACACACAATGATGCGTACTGTAGGAGGAAAGTCAAATCAGCAAACACGTAAGTATCTTAGTGCTGGCAGGGGTCTCCACAGGGCTGCTTCAGCACCCAGGGCTGCATCAGGGTAGGTCCATGTGGCTTCTCCTTGGGGATGTCTTGCAGGAAGTGAGCCTTGCCAGCTGAAGCAGGGAACTGGCTAAGGCAGCTGTACTCGGGTCCAACCATCACAAAGCCAGAGACCCAAGAACTTGAAAGGTTAGACTCACTGAGCCATTTATCCCCCCGCCCTTCAATTAACCCCATATGTGTTTATTGGCCCGGTTGGCATAATAAACTAACTACCTCAAGAAGCAACAACCAGGAAGAGAACATGTTGAGTGGCTACTGCTGCTGCTCTAACTTCTGTAGTTAACTCATCCCCAGACATGCATACCATGGTGAGAGATGCAGAAAGACTGGACTAACCGATAGACAATTGCTGAGGGTGGTATTCACATGGATAGCCTGATTCTGACATCAAGGCCAGCTTTCCTTCCTTGCATAAACTACACAGTAGAAATGATTTTTAAAACCTTTTTTTTAAGGCGATCAATGATTCTTTGAAGTATTTAAACCATCACATCCATTCATTAAAACTTGTAATAAATTTTACTTAGAACAAATGAAAATTCAACAGTTGTTCTGTGTGAGATAGAGAGCATGTACTACAGGGATGTCCCAAACTGACCTTCCGACCAGTGGTGAGACAGCTGTTGCTCAGCCAACGCGCATATGATGAATTGAGGCAAACCTACAAGGTGTATCTTAGCACTTGCGGTATTTGTTTTATTTACTTCCATATAATGTCAATTTTAAACACCTGCAAAATATTTTGAATCATATAATGAATCTCGATGTACCTATTACTGGTGAAAACAATGATCAATATTTTCCAGCTTGGAATTTGATTAGATATTACTGCAGGTTACATCTGTTTCTTTTACCTGTTATTTAGAATAGTGAGCATAGTCCTGATGCATACATGAATAAATGACATCATGAGTAAATGTCAGAGTTTTCACTTAAGTGTGTAAGGCAAATTATTCAGGTTCTCTTACTTTCAGGAGAATGGCAAGACTCTGTCTCAGGAACTTAGCACATGCTTTCAAGAGACCAGTGTGTGGAAACGAATATCATACTTGATAAAGCACAGGGTCAGGGGAAAACAGAAAGGCCCTCCGCGAGGTGAATTGACGGAGTGGACTGGGCAATGGGCTCAAGCGTTCCAATGTTGAGGACAGCCCGGGACCTCTTTCAGGCTTCCTAAGATCAGGGCGGGTTTCAAGATAGGGAAGAGGCTGGGCAACCAGACTGATTGTCCACTCTTCTTCAAAAGATGATCTGTATTATGTTTTATTTTCTTTACTCCATAGAAGTACGCCCCCCTCCCCACTACTTCACCTAGTTACAAATACTTACACACCTGGGGATTCAGGAAGAACGGGCAACCCTTCCATTCTGTCTGTTCTCAGCCCTCGGCATAACAGGAAAAGGTCAGTTTTGCATAGAAACAGATTTTAAGTTTTA